AAAAACATAATGACGATTAAGAACTAGACCAGTTTTGGCCAATTGATCAAAGTTAGGTGAAGAGATAGCTGGATTCCTGAAACCAACATCAGCAAAGCCCCAGTCATCAACCAACACAAACACAATATTAGGCAGTTTAGCAGTTGCAACAAAGCAACTACACAAAACACAGACCAATAAAGACACCAGTAGTCCAGCCATTATATTAGCATCACATGACATGTATCAGTTGTGAGTGTATTCATTTTACCAATGAATATCTGAATGCAACAATGTACAAGTAATTCAATTTGTTGTAATACCATTGTTTAGTAACAATGGCTAGTATACTGCTGTCATTATTACCATGCATAACGTATAGTTGCTTTGTTACAGCTGCCTAAATGTCAAATGCTCTCCATCATAAGAATTACTTAATTTATTGTAATAATATCATTACATAATAAATACACATTGTATCTATTAATGTCTATATACACATACTTAATTAATAACTGCTGTATCACTACTGTCACAACATGGTATCTCTTTCCTCTAAACTCAATTATCCAGTTAGTGATTAGGGCTGCACTCCACACTGAGAGAGAATGATATCCCATCTTCTAGTGACATACTGGCAAATTAATCTGTACAATTGAACTGATATATTAATAATTTGTGTATTTAATTAACTCATTTGAATCTGGCTCATAATCACAGTATACCAGATCTGTTTGCACAGTGAGTTTTATGTAACAAAAAGATGGCATAATAAAATTAATAAAAATAAACAAGTATACAAGTAACAAATATATTTGCTAGTCCTCAATTAAAGTTAATTACAATGGTAATTGTTTGCATGTACATGTACACACATGACATACATGTATACATAATGACAGTAACACAATAAGAGATAATTATACTTTATTAAATTTTGGCAAATTTGGCATTTTGATACTCATTCACCAAAATAAAATACACTATTTATACCATTATGCATGTACTCAATGGCACATGGCCACAAATTCACCAATTAAACCCACCAATCACCAAAATTTTAGCAATATTCCCTAAAATTTCTCCCCTCCAAAATTACCCACTATACAGCACTGTATATCTACATGTATCTATTTAAAAATGATTTCCAAACTTGATACTAAAGTTAAAATACATGTACAGGCACATTGTATTATACATGTATGCCATATAAACCGGCATCTGTGTACACAAGCCTATAGAATACATTCCCACATAAAATACACATGCTACATAATCTATTGAATTCCAGAACTGACACTGTATACTGTATCACAATGGTGACACAAACACAGACAGACACATGCATAATTCTCACATACACACTGTATAGGCAAAGAGACAAATACAACACACAAAAAGACACAGACACATGCACATACACATATATACTGAATACCAGCATTATCAGTAGCTTTCACTGATGAGTATCAAGTATTTACTTATACAAATTATGTTTCTAAATTATTGTGCATCATACATTGTGCATGTAGTAATTTCATGTATTATCATTTTTTGTACACATGCACAAACAATGATCTTAAGTCTTTTTCACTGTATATTCATTAGTCTATAATAAACATGCTAGAAAGCCCAAAATAACTTCATTGAGACTGGGCGAGTAAAAGCGAGCCCCACATAGTTGAGTCGAGCATATTTGTTTGTTTGTATACATACGTCACCCCTGTTTATGCGTTTAAAAAAATAATAATCACACATTTTTAAAATAATAATTTTGATAATTACGGTACCACATGCAAAGACAATGAGTATGAGTAAAGCTGGAACAGAGGAGTTCAAGAGTATTCAAGAAACAAGAGAAGCTGAAGCTTAAAACATGAGTAATTCACAAGAGGATGCTCATGAAGCTCATCGACTTCTTCGTAACGAGCGTGATTGGAAGAGAAGAAGGAGCAAGACTGAGGAGGAGAAAAGAGCAAGGAGGCCAGACTAGAGATAGCCCAAAGACAAATGGAGTCTCCTTCTGGCTTCTGAGACCAACCATCTTCCATGCTAGATCTAACTGCAGAGATTCTTAACTCATAAAGCTAGAAAAAGCTATGAAATTCCTTCCATGCAAATTCTGCATTAGTGTATTGACATCAACATTCATGCAACATTTAATAGCTACTACATCATTGTATATAGACATTGTATATATAGACATTGTATATTGCTAATCGAAATGTTAATTGTTTTGCTTGCCCCTTAATGTTTTACATTCACCTAGTCTATGGTGGTATAAAATAGCAACATACATTTACATGCATTGTAAATAGAACAGGGATATACTTATTAAAAATCATGCTTGGCTTTTTAAAATAAGTTTACATTTTGATTAAAATTAGCTTATTTATTCTGTATCAAAAAATGAATACATAAAAAATTATAATTTTCTTCTAGTGATTTTTGATGAAATACTAGTACAGGGTCATTGGCCTAATTTTTGAATAATTTTAAAATTCATAAAAATCCAATTTTTTGATTGGAATAGATCCACTGAAAATTTCACACAACCTAAATACATGCATATGTATCAGAAAAAATTATAAAATGATAAATTCTCCCTTAGCAACAAATATTTACTCTGTACTATCGCACAGAGCCTTTGGCTCAATTTACAGTAACTTTAAAAATTCATAAAAATTAATATTTAAATTTTAATTAGAAACTTTCTACAAAACATAAGTGCATGTATATGCATTTTTTAAAAATTAGAAAAAATGAAAAATTTTCCTTTAGCAATTTTTGGTGAAATATCTTGTGCTATAATACAGAGTTTTTGTCCTGGTTTTTGAGTAACTTTAATTGGAATCAAGCCATAGCAACTTTTGACAAAATACCCTGTACATACATCTGTGTACACACATATACTGTAGCCAAAGGACACTTATGCATACAAAAGAAAAGCACATAATAAATTTGAATCATACACATAGGAATGGGGGGGGGCTGGGGGGGCTGAAGCCCCCCAACTTTTCAGCAAGAAGGGCTTAGCCCCCCCCCAATGTTCACATGCTAAGTCATACTTTTTAATGTTGAATCATTCCTACCTACACCTATGAATTCTAGCACTGACATGTAATGTATCATAATGGTGGCACTGGCATAGTCAGTAATATCTATGTACATACACAAACAGACACATGTATGTTCCAGTATGTTCACACATTTTTTAACAAACATTAAATACAAACACATTCACACTAAAAACACGCATACTGAATACTAGCATTATCCATCAGTAGTTTTCACTGAGTATCATGTACATGTACATGACATTACAATTAAACCTCATAAGTTACAATAACTAATCTAATTATGTTTAAAAATTATTGTGTATCATAATTGTATCTAATTACCAGTTTTTTAATTTTCCTTTGTTAATGTCCATCATATCTTCTCTTATAGGCAAGGTACTGATCCTCTGAAATTAGTCTAGGTACTTCTGTATCCTGACAGAATAATAAAAAATCAAAAATAGTTCGTTATAATTGATGATGATAGAAAGCATACCTTGTTGTAAATTGCATTCATTGCAGCTATGATTGCATACCGGTATATATCAAGCTCTAGCCCCACCCACATTTAGCAATTAGCATAGTAGGTGGGACTCAATATACAATACCGGTATACGCCGTCAATCATCACTGTGCGTATCCTGAGGCCTTGCCTGTGCTGCAGATCATGGAGAGTAAGAAAATGTCAAGAGGACTTAATGGCGAGGACTTTGGTCAAAGAAGGCCTCCACTACATGAAATGATTAGAACTATATTGAGAGAATATCCCAGTGGTCAAATCTTTAAGGTCAGTGAGTAAACATAACGACTGACTAAATCATAATAATGTGGTATAGATCTACATAATAATACTAAAGGGAGGTTTACAGTATTATGCTAGCCCTAATGTTACATTGATGCTGGAATAGAATTTGGTTCTATTCTAGCGTAAAGCATGTGTCAAATGGTCAAATTGCCCACGCTTCGATTAAAAACTGACGGTCTGGCGTCATATTGTAAACTAGGCTTAATTTGAACCTTACTGATATGTATGGCTATTTCATGCTAAGTATCTAAAGAGTGATTTGTCTTTTATCTGCTGTATCCCAATTCATTATTGGCTTGGTAGTTTAATGTTTAGTACTATTATGGTCACATCATGTCAGTTTCATTATTAAACCAGAGGAGTGTAGTTAGTTGGAGGCCTGGCAGCTGTAGTGCCTAATATTGCCTATTATATTTATATTACAAGTCCAATCAAATTTGAGGGGAGGGGCTGGCAAGGCCCCTTAACTACGACACTATATTGACCATAAATGGAAGCAAATTAGTGTCAAATTGTCAACAGTTGGCAAGACATGTGCCAGCTCTTCCTGTTTACCACAATGTAATGTGATTTCCCTACTTACATTGTCTGCTTATCTTTCAATCACTAATAAACATAGTTTTTTTTTACTTTTATAATTGTAAATCTGGTTTTTCTTTTGCATGATGGTCATAGTACCCTAAGTTCCTTTATTCCTCATTATGTTTTTTGTTCTTTCTTCTCTTTTTATTTCTCTTTTTCATTTTCTCATCTAATTCTCTGACTCTTATACTTGTCACCGTCTACGTAATTCCCAAACAGGAAATTATACAGAATGCTGATGATGCCCGTGCCACAGAGGTCAAGTTCTATTTAGATTGCCGTGTATTACAAACACTTCCACCATCACTATTATCAGTTGTGTGTTCAGAAGCAAATCAAGAGGTGCTATCACAACAGTTCACTGGACCTGCACTCCTTTCCTATAACAATGCTCCTTTCAGGAAAGAAGACTGGGAAAGCATACAGAGTCTTCAGCAGAGCGGTAAAGCCAAGAATCCACACAAAGTTGGAAAGTTTGGAATTGGATTTAATTCTGTGTATCACATTACTGGTAAGAAGAGAAAAACAAGCTTGTACATGTAGTGCCATTTTACTTGGAATTATAATGATATTCATGACTTAAGTGTCACTCGTGAATAATCAATTCATTTGTATTTTTAGACCTCCCAGTTATTCTCAGTCAAAATTACTGTGGATTCTTAGAGCCACAAGAATCAGTGTGGAAAGGAGAATCAGGTAAAGGCTATTATCTGGAGAATCTTATTGATGAATGTCCTGAAGTACTGGAACCCTTTGATGGCATTTGCGGTTTCTCTAAAGAATCAACACAGTATAATAATAATACCTTATTTAGATTTCCACTGCGTAACAAAGCCTCAAAACTATCTAGTGAAGTCTATGATATAGACAGGCTTCACAAATTGCTTGAGTCTCTTAAAGAAGAGGCACAATATTTACTTGTTTTCCTTCGTTCTGTTTGTTCCATTGAAATATTCAAAATCACTGAGAGCAATGTCACTGAACCACTGTTTAAAGTGAGCGTAAGTGAAGCAGATTTTGATTCACGATTAAAGCAACAGCGACGGTTAGTTAGTCAAGTTGAATCAATCTTTTTAGGTGAATTATCATGCACTGTAGGCCAGTTGGTTAATGATACTTCGCATTTTCACATTCACATATCTATTAATGGTAGATTCACATCTGAGCATGAGTGGCTAGTAGTGAATCAGGTGGGCTCTAAAGATGATGAAGTAATGCATCTTGCAGAGAAGCAGCGTGTACTTCCTTGGGTAGGAGCAGCTGTTGATTTGAAAACGAGTTGTTCAGCTGGACGAATCTTTTGCGTATTGCCTTTACCTGTAGAGGATCGAGCCCCAATGTGCATTCATGTGAATGGTACATTTGCTGTTAGCAGTAATCGTCGCTCACTGCAATGGGAGGCACAAGAAAGGAAAGGAGACGAAGAGGGGACATGGAATAAGTTGCTAGTTAAGAAATGCCTTCCTTCTTGTTATCTAAAATTAGTCTTTGAGCTTATGGCCCTTGATATCCCTTACGACACTGTATATAACTGTTGGCCTGACATACAGAGGTTAGGTGGTACACCTTGGGATTCTCTGTTAGAGCCTTTTTACAGTTCATTATTGAACAGCAACATGGTCGTCCATACCCAAGCAATTGGAAGCGGGATGTGGATTAGTATTCAAGAAGCTGTTTTTATTACTGATGATGTGCCTATGCCAGTTATAGAAGCAATGAAATCATGTGGCATTAAGTTAGTCGAGCTTAATAGCAGTTGTAATCAAGCATTGGCCCATTATTATAATAGAAAAAGAAGCACTATAAGTCCTGCATTAGTACGAACAAACTTGAAGCACAATCCAAGTTCCTACCTTTACGTATCAAATGAAGCCAAGATGGAAATCCTAAAGTATTGCTTTCGTGACAATAATTTTCGAGATTTAGCTGGACTTCAGCTCATACCTTTAGCTGATGGATCGTTTCAACAGTTTAAAATGAAATCAAATTTATATGCTGATGGCTACTGTGTTTGCACTTCTGAAAACCCCAGTGCTCTGCTACCTGGTTTAGAAAACAAATTGATTAGTGTTTATGAGGAAGATCATACATTACACTCATTACTCTGCTCCATAGCACGTAGTGGTTATACACAGCTGACTATGCTAAACTGTCAGCAAGTAGCCAATTTAATATCACAATGCAATACAAGCTCATGGTCATATGCACAATTGGCATATTTTTGGCAGTGGCTTAGAAACCAACAGTTGGCATTTTTTCAAAATAAGTTAATTGTGCCAATAAAACTCCCTTCAAATAATAGTAAAAGTATTGTCCGACTGACTACTAAAGAAGGAGTAGTGTACATTCCTTTATACACTGCTGTTTCTCAGCCACTTTTAACTTCATTAGAAAAATGCCATATCAAATTTGCTGATGCAAATGTTTTTGATTATTTATCTCATCGTGAGCTTGCTAAATATCTCAATAAATTTGAGTGCAATAAGCTACTTGATGTTATTTCTTCTTATAATGTAGCAAACATAAGATTTTCTGATGATGAAGCTGCCAAGTTACAAGATTTTTTTTCCAATGTTTTATTTGATAGCAATAGAAGAGCAGCTATTGCCAAGCTGCCTATTTTTAAAGTGCTTTGTGAAGAATCAATTCGATATTCCATTGATGTAATTACATCATCTTATGCTGATGACAAAGCTATTGCTACAAATGGTGCCTTTAGTTTCAGAACTGATCTCCTTCCAAGTAGGCCTCTAATCATTGACACTACATCAGATAATGCATTGAGGCTTTTGAGATATATGACAAGCCATGTTTCCTTTATGACAGAAACAGATTATCTTTTGAACGTAGCATTCAAGCAGATAAGAAACAGGAACTTTGCCAATAGTAATATAGTTCCATTTATGAAAAGTGTTATTGATAATTTCTACAGTTCAGAATACAGACAGGCCTCTCGTAAACTGATAGCAAATATGAAAGACTTACGATTTGTTGAAGTTTCATTATCCACACAGCTTGAAGCTCCTTGTAATCTCTTTGATCCTGATGTATTGATTTTAAAACAGCTTTTTCTTGGTGAGTGCAAGTTTCCTGCTTCCAGCGAATGGTCTCACTTAGGAATTCTGAGACAGTGTGGCTTAAAAGCATCAGTTGATGCTAATGAACTTTTTCAAGTCATATCAACTGTTAGAGTTACTTTGCGTAGGTACCAGAACATAGTTGCTACTGATGAAAATAGATATCTCAGATTAAAAGCAGCTCTGAAATATTTGTCAGATAACCCTAGCTTATTAAATGCCTACCTAAACACACGTGACACGTTATTGACAGTGTTAAGAAAGCAAGCTGAACAGTTCTGCTGGCTACCAATAGCAAGCAGCCCTCCAAGCCAATATCCTTCCTGTTTAGTGTGGAAGGGATCACAGTATCCTTCATGCTTAGCTTCATTTAGTGTAGTTAATCCTCTCATATTGCTGTCACAAGATCTTACTGCAGCACCAGGGCAACATGTACCACACAATTTAATTGTTGGCTCAGAAGCTGTTTTTATTGAGAGTGTTCCCAGAGAGCTAGCTCAGCAGTTTCGTTGCTCAGCAAAAAATGTAGTTTCTGCTGTTATCTCTCATTTCA